CTATATAAGCAGGCGGAGATTACTCAGTCGATGTGTAGTTCATACGGTTAACGAGCTGACCACACAGGACACCCACAGTTGATCCACATGCCGACGTTCTGACTCTGATCTTGCATTTGTGGCCAATCAGCAGCTTTGTAGGTCAAAGGGCCCGGAGCCGGTAGAATGAACGTAACATGAACGTTTGTAAGACGCGTAATTCCAATATATAATTATCTAAGATCTTGACCATAATTGCTCGTTTTTTATCTTCTCCGCTTTCGCAGTCACATATAATTTCCTTTGACGTAACTATTGTAAATTATCAGATGATAATATCAATGAAATACACTTGGGATGTTCAAAGCGTCGTATAAGCTCCGTGACATAATAATTTAAAGCTACGTGGACGCGTCGCGTATAAAAAAATTTCATAATGAAAATAATAATTGCGATACTCATAACAGGAATTCATAATAATTCAAGTTGTATGCTACAACAATACGCTTCACTACGTAGGAAAGAGCGTATGGCTTGTCAGCGGAATGCATTTAACTCTGACACGCACAGCGCTTTAAACTCATCAGCTTTTACATGGGATTTCAAATGACTCGCAGGAGGTTTCAAACGAAAAACGCAAGTCAGTTGGTCAATCCATTAGAAGCATTTCGTTCGAGAGTTGCTGCGTAATGCCTGCGATTCGACTGACTTGCATTACACATGCATTGCCTCAGGAAGCATATGCTGCCGACTTATGACATTCCTTCTCTTCCCTTTACTGAAATCCATCGCTCACAGTTTTAAAATGCAAGATTCTATTACTATAATGTGCGATCTTATTACGAAAGGGAAAGAAACTCCGGGCCCTTTGAATAAATATTTCTTACGTACAGAGAAAAATACGGAAATTTCGTTAGCCGCAAAAAATAGCAAACGAAAAGTTGCGGGTCTGCACATACGTGACAAAAACTATTAGCACCCTTTCACAATGTGTTTCTATTTTTTAGTAACCGGTGGGCTCACGGGAGTAACACTTTTCGGAAACGCGTTTTTGCCACATCCCTTTGTTGTCGCCTGTGTACCGACACTCAGTTTGCACTGATCCCAAGTGCCGCGGTACGGTGCGGGATGTTGTTACGTTGTTTGACGACTGCAGAATCCGAACCGGGCGTTCGCGAGTCGTAACTACGGCGTTCCATTTAAAATTGCCCGATAATGGCCGCAGTGGTTTCGGATTGACGGCCGGCTCTTTTATACCTATGCTCATGCAAACACGCTTTCATTCGTTCTCGTCCGATCCCTGTCATCGGTTTGTCCACCCAACCCTGGGTTTTCACATACGTCCGTACTCGTCAGTCTCGCAACTTTATAAGCAATAACCGAACGCGAGCGCGACAGGTTTATGGCTTGCTCGCCGCGATCCTTACGCCCTTGCATTACGGCTGCCAGGTGCGGTCAGAGCTTTTTATGCATACGTGTTTTACGAGGCACGAGCTCTCCTTATCACGGTCCACGTGCAGACAGGAAAATAAAACGTAATTCCGTGGCAAGAGAAAAAGAGAATAACAGAGAGAGAGAGAATGGAGAGTTACATGGTCGACTTTTAGAGATACGTTCGCTTATCGGATATATGACCTGGCTTAGATCGAATTGTGGTTCACCACAGTGACTTGCGATTCTTTCGGATTTTCGTATAAAAGCTCAGAATGAACAAAAGAGAATTCATATTCTGTATACATTTTAATAAAATCTTAGTTAAAGCTTTATGTGAATCATTTCAGTGCTCACACATCTAATTCGAATTTTAAAGTTGCTATATTGTGCATTTGTGCCTCAAAATAAAAAAATTTCAATTTATAAAAAAGAGACAAATATAACACTCGTTTCTATGTATTACATTTAGATACTGTAATTCACGACGATGAGTCAGTGTCGACTACCGTCTCGACAAATAAGAATAACAGTGCACTAGAGGAGTCTAGAATCATCGATTGACAAGTACTACGTTCGTACTTTGTCCTACGTCAAAGAACAAATATAGCGTCAGTTTATAAGCATTCCTATTTTTATGCCGTTACAACGGAAATAATACTATCTTTCTTATGCACTGTCGCAAGTGTGGCTATTCCCAGGACAATCCGATTTTATACTCTCGAGTGTTCATATATAGCACTTTAGACCTCATTTCCTCATCAGAATAGTCGTAGCGTAACATTAATGCGGTCTTATGTATCATATTTAGAATCTGGCTAGCAATAAGCACGGGGAAAAGTTCCAAGTGTATTAACTTTTCTCTCTAAACTACCCAGCTACAGTCGCGAACTTCGTTCCATAAATAAGAGTGTCAATCTTAACATGAACGATAAGTATAATACAATATCATCTACAAGTGCAAGTGCTTTAACCATTTTTTTTCTCTTACATGTCGCTGTTAAAGAAGCAGGTCTATTATTATTTAACGCGGTTAGATATCAAGCACAGCTTAAAGAAAATTATAACTGCTCTGAGAAAAAGATACATATCATATGTCGTGTACACATGTGTATTGTAATACGCGTACAAAGTGTATGTTTAAACATTCTTATCATCATTATAATGATATCGCAATCGCTGAACACTTGGCTACCGTTTGCGCACATGACATCATCTACCTTATCAACTCACGGAAAATATTTTACCTCGAAAAGCATGATTTACAAGATTGAATTAGTAATTTCAAAGTAATTATAATGTAATGAAATATGAATTAACCTTAAGGCTGCCGGAAAGCCGATATATCGGCTCTGAGGAAAATCAGTTTTTTTCTATAAGAAACATATGTGTATGTTACCAAATATACTAAAGTTTAGATTCAAACATCCAGACAATCACATAAAAAAAAATAAAAATAAAAAAAATAAAAAAATAGAAAAAATAAAAAAGAAAAAAGGAGCTACATAAATACTCTCTACGTCCACGTCGTTAGCTCTGGGTAATTACCATCAAATTCAGCGCCCCTAAAAACCCTTATTAATACTTATTTAAAAATTTCATGATCCAAAATTTTTTCTTTATCTTATCCTGCCGGGAAGCCGATATATCGGCTCGGCCTATGATATGAACTTTGTATATAGTTGATACATGATACAAATTTGGCCACTTTTAAAGGACGGTTTAATATCTCGAATCCCGGCAGTCTAAAGGTTAATAATTTTTCTGAGAAAAATTTATCTTTACACGGAAAAAATAGTTTTTATCAAAATCTAAAAATTTAACTTTATTTAATATATATACTACATACAGATTTGAAATTTTAATTAATTATCTAACGAATTAAATTTGGGATATCATTAGTATTTCAAATAGATTGTGTTTGGATGAAAAGTAAGTCGACGCAAAGTCATTTCTAAAATAAATTTATTTAAAATATAAATATTTATATAAACGGTTCTGTTTCTGATTTTAATATTAATATTAATTTTTAAATCATCAAAATTATTATGTAGAACGCTTAAGTATTAACGACAATGCTGTAAAAAGATTTAACATTCTAGCAACTAGTCTGAGCGTTTTACATAATTATTTTGAGGATCTAAACAAAATTATTGTCAAATCTGTATCTAGCTAGATTATACTTTAGTAAAACTGTTCTTTCCGTATGTAAAAACGATGTATTCTTCCATAATATTAAAATTGTTCTAATATTATGCTTACAGAGTTATCTCAAAACTACAACTTTTACATATAAAAATTGCATATGTTTCTGTCTAGTCCATAAATATAATCTCTTCGCGTCCTGTCTTCGTTTATGACAGAACTGGGACAGCGTGACGGTACTCGGCACGGCGGAGTGCTCAAGTATTCAAAGTAGCAGATTATTTCGCTTACACATCGGAAACAGAGGATTGTCAAGAGAGCACTGATCGGTCCTCCCCAATGAGATCCATTAAAACGTAATCAATGAAGGGCCACCGCGTAGAACCGCGAATTACGCTTCTCTCTAGTGCGCGTAGTTTTCAGAAGCGGAAACTGCGGACGAACTAGGTACTCCAGCGTGGCTTCACGAGTAACGCGACTGGAACGAGGAGGAGGTAGAATAAGTAGGTTAACGAAATGGTCGTTCGCAAGCTTGAGATACCGCCACCAATTTCCAGTGGTCCTCAACTCGATTCGAAGTTCCTCCTAACCGGCGGGATACCCCGTGCTAGAATGCGCCACGAAGCGACAACAATTTTCCAGTCGGTTGTTCCTTCTCCGTGCCGCCATGCATGCGCAAAATGTACTTTGTACGTAAGCCTCGGAAATAGAAGATGTTCCTCTCCGTTTCCCCGTACCTCGTACCAGTTGTCCCGCGCGGCTCTTTGGAAACGACCTCCCCGAAGTTCAGCAAGCGAAGATTCTACCTCGTGCCTCGAAGAAACGTAAAAAAAAAAAAGGACGAATTATCGAGAGTCTTAAAGGGAAGCGAGGCATCACTCGATTAGCGTATACAAGAAAGACATTCCTCGAGTGGATTCTTCGCGGTCCGTTTTTACTTCGGATCGTTGTCGCGTTTCGCTTCGGCGCTAATTGCATTACTATTTCTCTTTCTCTCTCTTTCTCGACACCTCTTACAGATTCCTTCCTCAACGCTCGCATCGTCACGACTATTCTCTTACCTGGTATCGCAATATTCGAGTACCGTAGATGACGATTGACGAGAACATAATTAGCGAAATAATTAGTAATTAATTATTTAATTAATAATAATTAGTTAGCAATTATAATAACAGTTAGAAACTAGAGAATATAATTAGAAAATATAATTAAATACGTGATAAAGACAAATTTTTTCGATTAAGTAGAAGAACATGAATAATAAGCCTGTTTTTTAGAGTATTATCAATTGATACACTGTATCTGTTATTAAAAATAAAAATTTATTACACACAAATAGCTTATTTATTATTGTTTATGCACTACGATTTTATAGATAAGTATATAAGTTTGAGAATTTGAAAAAGAAACATGCAATTATATCAATTACATTGATTTATTGGTGAAATATACAAGACAATTAAAATGAATAATTAAAATATTCAGCGACATTTTTGCAACGACAATGTGTGTGTGTGTGTGTGTGTGTGTGTGGTGACACAGTGTTGGAATAAATAGCTCAGAATATAACTAGACGTAGCTTTAAAATTGCAATCTATTTTACGTCGTAATTGTATCCAGAAATTGTACCAGTCATAGAAGTAGCTGCTTTCACTGTGGCTAATTAAGGTCGTCCATACAAATTAAGTGCAAAATTAACACCATGACCCCTCTGACTCTTGAATCTCATGCTGACGAAGTTGTGTCCAGGTCCACCATTCAAAATACTAGCGTGCGCGCCGTTTCCGTTTGTCTTCTGGTCCAATGCTTCAACTAAGGTGATACGTTCATTTCTCGAGATATTGAAAGTCTTTTCAACAATTTGAACCTTCATCCAGCTAGAATTCTTGATGATGTTCTCTTTGAGAACGACCCTGTCACCAGCCATCCTGTAGCCAACGATCAGATGATGCGACTTATTATTTTCAGCATAGGAAGTGATAGCTCCATTGGCAGAGGGTACAGTGGTGACGGTCAACAGAGCGGCGACCAGAACAGCCAAACTAATTATGTACTTATATGCTGACATCTTGCCTTATTTTACACTTGAAAACTATGCTACTGTTGCTGCAGGAAAGCTACTTAGTATCTGTCGGCATAACGGACGATCGGCGCTTAAATAGATGGAATAATCGCTTATCACTCGGCTTATCATGATTATATCCCACCGTGTTCTGGAAAGATACGTTCCGCGAAAGAATTATTTCGATCAATACAAACTCATCGTAACATGTTCAAACAACATTTCTCGCTATTTTACATAATAAAAAAAGAGTAAGAGACAGAAGAGTAAATAGTATTACTTTTAATAAAATTTCTACCATTCATGGAGAGCGCACTCATGAGCCTATCGCTCATTTTTTATTAATTACAATTTCAACTTTATTATGAGTAATTTTATATTTGGTAAGAAAATATTAACATTTAATAATAAAAAATACATTAATTTTATTTATATCATTTTTTGGTAAGAAAATATTAATATTTAATAATAAAAGGTACATCACAATTTATTATTATAATGAGCAACTAGAAACATAATAGCATATACGTGTGCTGCCGATATTTCCTCTATAATACATAATGGACAATTATTTTAATTAGATCTTTAATTAGATGAATCGGAGATATTGCAATCGTTATTACTTTCGTATACATACGTTTCTATACTGGTGTATGAATCATCGAGAGTGTGTAAATTACACATGAGTTGGTATCAACGTATTAAATCAATATTTTTATCTCTTAAATGTTATGAAACATTTACGAGAATCATATCTCAATTGTCTCATTCTATTTTCGGAATTGATATAATTCACAAAACAAAATTTATATCGATCGATATCTTTTTAGATGTAATGATAATTATTGTGAATCGTTATGAAAAATACTTGATATGGATTGATAATAGCAATGAGAGAAATTACAGTGCTGGTGTATTCTAATGATTTATCACGTATACTGTATAAACATTGCGCATACGTGTGATATTTAAGGTATTCTTGATAATCAACATAATGATATTTATGCATACAGTAATTAATATTAATTATTTTCACGTATATATATATATATATATCGTTTTATTAAAATATAATTTAAATATTTAAAATATGTTTATATATATATAAAATATACATATATATACATATATGATAAAATTGCTAAATAAAAATAAATTTCTATATCGTTCCCTTACACCCGCTCCCTAAAGTAACATAGTTTAAAGAAATGTAACTTTCAAATTATTACTATGAATGAGTTAGGTAAAGATTATTCTACATTAATCATAAAAAATAAACTATATAACTTAATTTCATCATTCGCTAAATAGTACTTATTTTTAAGGTTTTTAAAGAGATCATAATATCTTCTATAAAAGGGGGAGAAGAGTACATTTTAAGTTGTATCATTTTTATGAACTGTGAAAAAAAGAAGGTTCTCCTACAGAAAACATTTAAATATTAGTTAAAATATTTATTGACTTATCTTTCTTTTATTATTAATTAAAATTGTTTAATGATCGAAGTTGAAAAAAATTTTCTTATTTTGATTTTAGTCACTTTAGCTGAGAACAAAGTAATTAATGATTATTATTATATTATTAAGGTCATTAGTGATATTTTGATATTTATGTCACTTTTAATGAATTATTCTTGATTTTTGTAAGATATAAAAATCGTCATAATTCAAACACAAAAAGGTTGATTTTTAAATACAAAATAACAAAAATGATATTTGATCATATTTCTATAATAAAAGTATATATTATTTTACCGATATATTCTTTTTGGCGAAGTTATTTTTAATATTATTAGTAATATCCACAATTTTCTGTTAAATTAAAAAATAGTTTTTCCATTCTTCTAAAAAATTTAATTTCTTTGAAGTGTATTATTTTTGAAGTAAGAGAACAATATAAAAAACATAACAACGAATAATAGTACATATTTGTATCTTGATACTTTACAGCAGTTAGAAAATGAATAAATATAAAAAAGAATTACGCGTTGTACTACAAGTTGTACTCGTTAACAATCTTTTGTTAAATTTGTGTTTTATTTTTCATTTTGTGCAAAGAAAAGATATATCTATACTTTGAGAAGTTATTAGGAAGCTTTGCAATACCGTTTATCCAGATATACAATGAACGCTAAAGTTACGTTATTCTTTTCTTAATCAGTTGTGAGAAGAAAAAGATAACGTGATTTTAGCATTCACCGTATCTAGATAAACGGTATTGTAAAAACTCTCTAATACATTTTGATCTTTCGCGATAAATTTTCTAAATAGTGAAATTGTCCAATTGCAAGGGTCACAGCTGCTTTGTCAAAGCTGTTGGAGACTGCTTGCTCAGATGCTTGTTAACCGTGTGAACATCCAATATGTTACCTCGTGTGTGCACTTAGGTCCTACATTGAGAATAGATTCACTCGGATCATTAAGTCAATTGGTGGATACACGGTGACAGAATATTAGCCATAACAGCTACGAAATCAGTCTTATCTCATATTCATTAAAAATATATCTTATGTACGTATATGCGAGTAATATCAACTTATAAATTATCTATCGTAAAAAAGAATATTGTTGCTTATTGCATTTTTAACATAGCTATTGTAAATTAAAAAAATTGTCTTAATGAAAAGAAAATAATGAAGGCAATCAATTAGATTGCAGGTAGGTATTCAACAATGTTTGTGTAGAAGTTAATTGTATTTTATCAATTTACACTCTGATAAAAAGATGGGTTTATATTGAAATCTGGTATTACATGATAAATCTCCATAAATAATATCGAATTTTTTGCGGGTAATTCGAGAAAGTAGCTTATTCGAAGTTAATACACTGTCAAGAGAAATTTGTGACGCTTCGATAAACTTTTAAAACTTGTATGGTTTGCAGGTGGTGGCCTGAATTAAGTAGTTAAAAAGAACGTTTCGACTAACGATTGGAGATGTTTTAGTCAATAAGAGATTATTTTGAAGATACCGTAAATCGTTTTATCTGATCATTCTTATCCAGAGTTTTTTTACTGGCTAAGCAACTTTCGAATGAACGTCTGCTCGCAAATACGTGTTTCACATACACTCCACTAACGTATATGGATACCTGCCGTCTCCACCTATAACGTTAATTTACTGCGAACCACGTCCTGTTGCCCGTGAATGGGACCAGGGATGCTAGGAAACAGTCCGATGGGCAATGAATGCGAGCTTTACCTCATTCTCTATGTTTTGGCATATAGACGTTTCTCTACAAGCGTCTCTCTCTCTCTCCTTTTTTCTTTTCTTTCTACTCTCACCTCTGCACGTAGCTTTCGTCCTTCCTTAATCCTCGACACGCGAACGCATGTATATGTGCGTGCCTGTCGCGTCATGCATACTTATGCACTCGCACAGATGAACGATATAAGCGGATAATACTGAAACGGTGTGCCCTGGCGACTTCACCTTCCTTTCTATATACGATCGGACGCCACGCTAGGATGCAAGTGCACTCGCATTATTCATTCAACGTACAAGCCCTGCAAACGCGGGACCGCCACCGGCTCGATCCCCGTGGCACCTGTCTTAACTGTGGCAAGACGCAGTTCGTTCGCGCAGTCCACCTATCACCGCTGTACGTTGCGCTTGCCATTAATTATCTGGATATATGCTTCGAAGATTTGAGGCAAAAGCCGACTTCGGTCGTCTTAACGAGCCGCAGAACGCTCCTCCGATCGGGAATCGATGCGTAACAGTACAGTATTGAACTGTAACCAGTACCTATCACAAAAGATACGGATTAGGACAGATTTTGTACCGTTTGGGAGATTAATTTAAGGAAAGGTTCTCTTCAGAGAGATTTTATTATTATATAAAACATGTTTATTTATACATAATTCTGTCTTACACATTAAATTATATTTGAAACTGAATAAATTTTAATTTTTGCGCGTTAAATTTAATCCTTGATTTAATCTTGAAGAATACATTTTCGTACTTAAATTCCTAAATATGAGTTTTCAAAATATTATAATATATTCAGAGATGCGTAATTTTATATTATAAATATAAATTGAAAATTATAAATCAAGAATAAATTAGCTTTATTATTTTTAATACTTAATGAATGATAAAAGTATAATCCTATAAATATTTTTATTAAACGATTTCTATAAACACACATATTTATCAAAACATATATTGTTGTCTTCATTTAAGTCAGAGAAGTCTTGTATAATAAAGATTCTGTTAATATCAAATGATATTATTTAAAAAATCAGACAAAGGGCAAACCTTTAGTGGTACGATGTGGAAGGGAGATAAGGGAGTGTGAACGGTAGGAAGGTCAGTCGTTAGGACAATTAGACGAACAGAAAAGTTCCATTGCAACCGTGTACCTTATTGGCCATTGTTACAAGAGTCGGAGTGACAGTTACTAGTTTTCTCCATTACTCAATACCGTCCGCTAATTCCCGCAAATTAGCATATACGCGTCTCGCTCAGAGGCTGAATTTTATATTTGTCACCGAAAAATTCACGGCGAGAATAGCCGTTATCATCACTTATTCATGTGCCATCAGGCCAGTATCTTTAATAATAATAAGCACTTGACAATAAAGTACTTTAAATTAGTTCAGATAAAGAAGTGCACAAATGTGCTTTTTCCGCAAGTTTATATGTATACACACACACACACACACACACACACACATACACATATAATCTATTTAATGACAAAAAATTAAAATGAATTCTTAGTAAAAGGAAATAAACAATTATTATCTTTCCTTGTTGAGAACATTAATTACTGATGAATAGCATTAATCTGTCATTGATATCATTGACACGCAAAAAATTACGCCGTATTATATAAGTCGTCCACTTCAAATTTTCACCTATCTTAATTTTATTATTTAAGCCTTTATATCGATAAGTATACGATATTTATAACCTTTTTTTTTATTGTTTATCTCTCTACGTTGCCCAATTCTAATTATTCTCTTTATAAATGTAATGGGATACGTTTGAAGTGATGAATCCGGTTAAAATCACAATAGATTTATGACAGTCCATTACA